GTAAGCCAAGATACCCAGGGAACCAGAGCTCTCCAGACACTGGGCTGGCCTCCCCTCTTCCAGGTCAGTCAGCAGTGGGCAGGATTCAAGTTGTTCCCCCCTCTCCCAAAGAGTAGGGATTTTACTCCCATTTGAGAGCTGCTCTGTTCCTGTGCCAGACAGCATCTTCTCTCTCCTGTTTAACTCTTGCTTCATACTAATTCCTTCCCTGTTCCCCCCCTAAATGAAAAGTCAGGGACAGGATGAAGTTATGAAGAAAACAAAGGGCTTTCTCCTTGAAGATTGTTTGCAGCTAAAACATCTGGAGCTATGACAGCAGGAAAGGGCCTGGCCTTTGTTCTGTGAACAGCAGAGCTTAGGCAGTGCTATGGAAAAGAAAGAACTGAGGTTTGGGGTTTTTCCTCTGTCAACTGGTGTGGCAGCTTTGCTAGATGCTGTAACAGTGTGTTAGGGTCCTGGATTCATTATGCATGAGGTGCTGAGTTATGAGCTCAGATCACTGCAGGCTGGGCTGGAGCTGGCAGACAGAAACCTGTAGTTCTGGAGGGCAGAAGTGGAGATGTCCTGGTGGCAGGATTGGGTGAGACCTCTTCCCATCCTCCTGCACTCCCTGACTGTAATGGCTGTGGCAGCTGTGTCATGGTGTACTCCAAAAGGAGCAGCTCCTGGCCAGACCTGTTGTGCCAGGTGATGAAAATAGTCCCCTAGCTGTTCAGAAGGGGCTGCGAGTGCTTCTGAGCAAGCAGCCTGGAGTCAGTCACCAGCTGGCCTTTTGGTCCTCTTTGCTGCAAGAAATCATGGCTGTGAACTTAGTACTTTTCTTCATCCCTGTGTGGGTGTGGAATTGGTCAGTGGCAAAAAATCTGTGGCCTGCTTTTCTTGCTTCACAACCTGCTACAAGGCAGGCTCTGAGCTCGAGAGGGATGGGCCAAGGGCATGATCTGTCATTTGTCTGAGCCAGCAGAAGGTACCAAGTGTTAAAACCCACTGTGCTGAGTCACAAAACACTTAATGCACCCTAGGAGTGTAACAGGCGTCTGCTTCTTCTCTGTTTGTCACAAATGTTGACTCAGTCTGGCTCCTTGTATTTGATGTGAATAATGTCAGTGTAGGGTAACTGGCTGTAAAGCACTTGGGGCCTCGTGCTGCAAGTTCTGATTTCTAGGTCCAGATGCTGTTTTTCACTTGAGTGGGAGAGTAATTACATGTGTTTCTTTCCCAGCTTAGGTATTGTTGCACTTTGAGTGACTCTTAGGGTATGTCTGCACAGCAAACCGCAGGTGGGATTGTAGCAGGGACCAGTTTACTCCAGCCAGCACTGGTGAAAACAGCAGTGAAGCAGCTGGGACTGGGAGGGACACATGTGCAGCTGCCATCCAGGTCACTGGTGAGCCCAGAGCCTAAGGGATGGCACAGAGCCCCTGCACCTCCACTGCTGTGGTCTGCCTGGCATATGGGTGCCCAGGCTGGGTTTGTTCCTAGGCACCACTGGTGTGGTGCTGGAGAGGGGAGAACTGGGGGAAATGTGGGAAGATCTGAGCCTCTTGTTCCAATAGATTTACTGAAGTCTCAAACCTGTTTATTTGGCTGTGGGAAGAAATAGTCAGTCTTGAATGTGTATGTACCTGCAAGATGGGAGCACATGATCTTCTCATGTCTGCCCTTGCAGAACTGCCTGCTACAGGCAGGGCATGGAGATTCTTATAGGAATTATTAAGGGCAAAGACTTTAGAGAGTCCACAACTCCACTAACAAACTGAAAAACAGCACTGCAGATAAATCTATCAGTTGACCCAGACATTGCACCTAGGTCCTTATGAACAAAATGAGCTCAGCATGCTCAGTCTGATTACAAACTTGAGGTTTTGCTGTGTGCCTGAGAATGTCTGGAGACAGAGGCAGATTGTAGCAGGTCAACAGTGTGCATGAGATAGCAGAAGAGGAAAAGAAATGCTGTGGAGGGAGGCTAATGAGGTGTATAATGTATTGCCAGAATTTTACAGGGGGAAAAAACCTCAGAAGCATTTACCATGTTTTTCTACCGACATGGGGATTAGAAGTCCCAGCTCTTGTTTCCATGAACAGTCCAACATGTTGCATTACAACATACAACTACACCATCCCTCTGTTCCTAGAACATTAGCTGCAAACCATCACCACTCACTTTGCTGCTCTGGGCAGAGCTGTTCAACAAGCAGAGAAATAATTAGCACTTCATGCAGAGGCAGAAGTATCTGCAGTAAAACAAGGGTATTATTGACAGCTGGAGAACTGATGAAGTGTTCTAACTGTGTATCATTAGCATCTTTCCATACTTCATTAGATAACTAAAAGGCAGGATAAATAAGATATTTTTTGGTATGAAAATACAGCTTATTTAGATCCATCCTGTAGCTCTGCAGGGTCTTTTTGTCCAGCAGTGCCCTTGAGTAGGTCTGTATTTCCAGGAATCCTGGATCATTCTGTCACAATATATAGTATTGCATGTTTACTCTTAGTACAAGACAGTATTTTGACTCACCTTCTTTTCTCCTGTCTACACCCCTGGAGTTCTAGTGGTATTTACTGTGATGTTAAGTGGCAGGAGAGTTTGGAAAGCAGTTGATAAGTCTGTGGGTTGGGGCAGTTGTGGGATGCAAATCCTGGGCTTTGTGCTCCCTAAGCAGGAAGTTAGGCGTGTGAATAGTTCGGCTCTGGTTTTGAATTTTGGGATGTTCAGCACAACAAGCAGGTTGTAACATCCTGCTG